CACTGGTCCGGGCTCGTGTGTGCTTACGACTGAACGGACGTAGGAAACAGCTGGCGGTAAAACCATCACGTCCCCAGCTCGATCAGGAAACTAAATCCCTATTTGAGGAAGAACTAGCTAAACGCATATCTGAATTCGACAGCTGTGCTCACCCTGGAGAAGCCTGGAAGAATATTCAGTCAGCTATAGATACAGCTGTAAAAGCTGTGAATAAGGCAAATCCAAAGGTGAGTAAAAACCACTGGATTTCGACTGCCTCATCCGAACTGATAGATGCTAGAAGACTTATTCCGGCGAGCTCCGAATTCAATGAGGAGCGAAAGCTGCACAAAAGGAAACTTACTAAAAGTCTCCGCAAGGACCGTGAACAGTGGTGGGTGACAAAGGCAAAGAGATGGAAAAAGCATTGGCGATAGGCAACACTAGGCAACTCTTTAGACTCATCACAGAATCGGGTGGGAGAAGGCAATTCATAAGTGAGACTATTTCTGAGAAAAATGGCTCCTTAATTAGCTCTCAGGATAGACGCCTTGAACGCTGGAAAGAACACTTTGAGGAACAATTTAACTTGCCTACAGCCACACTGAACCTCCCCGCCATCCACCACACCCGAATGGGATATAGACACTGGTCCGCCGTCTGTAGTGAGGTTACAAAAGCTATCAGTAATTTGAAACGAGGCAAAGCGGCAGGACCCGACGGAATTATTCCGGAGGTGTTTAAATATGGGGGTGACATACTAGTTTGTAGATTAACTGAGGTACTAGGCAAAGTCTGGGAATCAGAGACAGACCATCAGACTGGGGTAAGTCACTTATTATACCGATATTCAAGAAGGGAAACAAGTCCTCGTGTGATAATCATAGGGGGATCAGCCTAACGAACATAGTCTCTAAAATCCTAGGCTCAGTAATCATGCATAGACTAAGCAGAACTCGGGAGGAACAGACAAGGGAAAATCAAGCAGGCTTTAGACCAGGTAGAGGGTGCATAGATCATATCTTCACTCTTCGACAGATTCTAGAACATAGACACACTTTTCGGCGTCCAACAATTGTCATATTTCTTGACTTGAAGGCGGCCTTCGACTCCGTGGATCGAAAGGTACTATGGCAATGTCTGACTGTGAAGGGAGTGCCAAGAAAGTACATTGCACTAATCAAGGCACTCTATTCAAACTCACGTAGTCGTGTAAGGGCTTATGGGGAATTGTCATCTGAATTGGTAACAACCAGTGGTGTCCGACAGGGATGTCCACTTTCCCCATTTCTGTTTAACTTCATCATAGATATGCTGATGGAAGTATCCTTAACTGAACGTAGTGACTTAGGAATCGACTTGTTACCAGGGAATAATCTTATGGACTTAGAATATGCAGATGACATAGTCCTGTTAGGGGAGGATGCTGACAAAATGCAGAGTCTTCTGAACACCTTGAGCAGCAATCTTCGTATGTTTGGCATGCGATTCGCCCCTGCAAAATGTAAGATGCTGCTACAGGACTGGACCACGTCAACCCTAACTTAGTGATAGGGAGTGAAGTGATAGATTTTTTTTTTTTTTTTTTTTTTTTTTTTTTTTTTTTTTTTTTTTTTTTTTTTTTTTTTTTTTTTTTTTTTTTTTTTTTTTTTTTTTTTTTTTTTTTTTTTTTTTTTTTTTTTTTTTTTTTTTTTTTTTTTTTTTTTTTTTTTTTTTTTTTTTTTTTTTTTTTTTTTTTTTTTTTTTTTTTTTTTTTTTTTTTTTTTTTTTTTTTTTTTTTTTTTTTTTTTTTACATGAAAAGGTTAACTGCTTTCGATCATAGATGTCTGCGATCCCTGTCTCACGTTAGGTGGTTTCACAAGATAAGTAATGTTGACGTTAGGAGTAGAGTGTTGGGCAAACAGGGAAAATCAATCGACGAGGCTATAAAGTTACATAGACTAAGATGGCTAGGTCACGTGCTGCGCATGCCTAACCACCGCCTCCCCCGACGGGCACTGCTAGCTGACATAGGTTCAGGTTGGAAAAGAGCCAGTGGTGGCCAAACAAAAACATGGCATCAATCCATGAAATCCTTGACAGTTAAACTGAGTCAGGTAGGGAGATGCAGACGCCCGGGTTGGGGTCCTCGGGACTCTAGGAATCAATGGCTGGAGACAATAGGTGACATGGCTCAAAATCGTTGTCAATGGCGCAGATGTATTCAGTCTCTGTAATTTTTCATATTCCTTTCTATCATTACCCATTCTGTTTCACTCTCATACTTGTCAAACTCTATTGATTCTCTCCACTCATCTTCTTGTCTACCTCTGTGTGCTATTTGGAACGTGGCAACTCGAACTGCTGCACTTCGGTGCCAAGTTCTATGTTGAATCCAGACAGACAGGATTAGTACTGACAGACGGTGTCTACTGACTTTAGTTACCCGGTGCTGTGGACCAGGTAAACTGTTTTAAGAGCTCGGTGCGAAACTATTTTTAGACTGCGAATGGCAGTACCGTCTGTTTCATGGACCTTCCTGTCGACCCCACGCTTCTTGCTGCCCGCAGCTCGGATGAGCTAGAAAAGCTTCCTTAAATCAAATTCTCAATCTAGAGAATTAATTCGCGATTTACACAGTTCGAAGTTATTATCTCATCAATTTCCTTTGGAAGCTGACATTATTCAGATCACAAAATATGATCTGTTCGATACCATGAACAGTAGTCAAAAAACCAAGCATAATTTTATGACATTATGTATTACTGACTGAATAAGCTGAGTAGTTGTATACCATTCACATCGACCAAGAGTGCTTGTTAACCAGGTCGAAGTGATCTAAACACCGGAAGAAAATTTCGCTGTTTTGGAGCCGAGTTCGCCAGCAGTGTAGTCAGTTTGATTCAGCTTAGAGAGCCGAATCAGTTCACCCGATTTATCGTTAGCTATTTGGGCGAAATGGCCTATTTAGGATGAACTTTGACGATCAGCACGAAATTGCAAGATAAACATGCGCATATCAAGACGGTACCGAATAAACTGCTATCTATGAACGTTGAATTTCAAAATGATACTGCAGCTGAGATTTATCCAGATCACTGGGAAAAGCCTTCCTTTTAGTTAGGCTACAGATCAGTTTTTACAGCAGACAAATGATCAATGGATGTGTGAAGGACAAACTGCCGCTTTGGACGAGCCATTTCAATGTGTGTTTACAAATTCACCTGCACGTGTGGAGCTAGTGATACTGGCTGCACACTTTCTAAACGCATTTCGGAACATTTTCCGGTATGGTTAGCAAAACGACAATGCAAGACAGTTTCTAGCTCAATTCTCGAGCACTTGCTGAACTCAAGCCACGCAGCCCCACCGAAGATGTCTTTTAAGATTACCTATAAGGTGAGACCGAATGGTACAAATGGGTATTAGGTTTCGGCATTTGTGTACTGCGGAGGCGTTGGCGATTCGTCAATACAACCCCGAACTATGTATACAGAAAAGGTTTGTCTAGTTTCCTATTCTATTATGGTCTTAACCTCTTCACTAGTCGTTCCCTGTAAATTTTTTATTTTCATTTTTAATGATTAGTTTGCTTTTACTTAAATAATTAATTCAATATTAACACTGTGATCTATTTTCCTTTTTTTACATTTCCTCACCCTCTTCGCACTTATTAAATGGACATTCAATCACCTTTCTTCTCACTCAATAACAGTTTAAACCTTATCAAATTTCCAGCCTTTTCTTCCTTTGTGCCGTTGAGTATTACGTAATTTACAATGCTAGGAGTGCAGCTACACCTGACTTCCACAGTATTTAAATTCCAAGGGGAAATATACAAACAAACTGAAAGAGCTGCCATGGGGTCACTAATATCCTCGATTGTGACAGATATATTCATAAATAGGCGGAAAAACTTAGCGACTGAAACTCCCAGCTCCACCCTAAAAGTATGTATATGTCACATTCACTGTACTTGGAACACAAAACATAAATCGATTTTTTGAACACATCAACCAAAAAGGTGAAAGCAACTGAATTCACTTATGAATTGGAAATTCAGAAAGGGGAGCTTCCAACGTTAGATTGTAGCATAAAAAGGAAAGAAGATGGGAAACTAGACATTAGTGTTTACAGGAAACCCTCAAGCTCAAACCGATACTTAGATATCCGATCATCCCGTCGTATGCCAGTAAAAATGGGATTGGTGAAATGTTCAATTAACAGGGCAAAAAAACTAAGTAGTACCAAGGAAAATGTAAGACAGGAAGTGAGTCATATAAGAGAGGCTTCGAAACTTGATGATTACCCTGGTAAATTAATCAGGAAGTATTTAGGAAAATGTAAAAATAATATAAATAATAATAGTAGTGATAATAATACTAATGACGACATGCATGTCAAACATGCACAGGATAATGACTACACCAATAATAGGGAATTCAAATCATCAGTGGTACTTCATTACAACGAAGGAACCTCGGAAACCTTCGGAGAATTCTTAACAATGCAGGAATAAAAGTGGCATTCGAAGCCACAAACTCGATTATTTTTCTGTTGTTATTTTTTATTATTGCTTGATTCCACACCGTATTTTTGGTACAAGAATGGAATTTTCAGCGTGTGATATCGGTAGCCCAAATTTTGCAGGCAAGCCATTGATATCGGGTAGGCGTCGGTGGGGGATCGAACCCTGAACCATGTGGCTGGTCGGCGAGAATCTTAACCGCTTTGTCGGTTAAAGGTTCCTGTGGAGCCAATTAAACAAAACAATTTAGTTTATCTATATGTTGCTGATTGTCAAATCAAAGTAATAGAACAGGGCCAGTCAGACTAGCCGAGCACAAAAACCCAACAAAATCTAGATTAGTTGACTCTAATAAGATAAGCATTACATGCAACTACACACAACCATACAATATGATGGAATAAGATGACAGTTTAAAAATCTAATATAACAGGGTTGAGAGATTGAAAACGGAAGCTTTATTTATTGAATCAACTGCAAATACGCGTAAAAGGAATGATTCAACATCGGTCCCAGACATCTGGAGAATTCTACTACCTCTACGACAAATAGGAAAGAATAAAGAAAACTATAAAACGAAAGTTTCGGAGTTGTGTGGTTATAATTTATGGGATTATTAACAATAAATAGTGTTCGAAACGTCGAGTAAATAATACTGTTTCATTGCGTGATAAATCCAATAAACAAATTACTATGGAATACACATTGTATAACCATTTCACTCGTTCAGCGACGAGCTCATCAACTATGTACTCAGTTTCAATACACAGAAACGTCTGTCTACACGTTATCATCAATCACTATGAATTTATGCAATAAAACGAAATGCTTTTACTAGTAATGCACGCATGTTGGTGTAGACTATCCACAACAGGAAGTGCAGGAGGCCAGATTCAATTTGCAACTGATTTGGATGACACCAAAAACCGAAATAAGGACAATTGATCACTTAAATGAAAAGTACCAAATCAAATCCAGAGAGAGGGAGAGAAAGAAACCGTTGTTGTATAAAAAACATAATATAATTAAATTGCACATAGTAATAATAAGCATTCAGAATGGAGACATTAAAAGAAGAAAGACAACATATTCGGTTAGTTATTTGGATACAATCAATTCATATGTGCTCATACACACACACACACACACACACAAACAAGCATCAATTGTCTTGTCTGTTTACAAAATAAGGTGGTGAAATATACAAGTAGACTATAAGTAATTAGTAAACATTGGAAAGAATTTTCAAGATGTATACAAGTTTAAATCTACATAAACTTTTCAAATCAATCAGAAATGAGTTTAAAATTTATTTGTTATGTGGACGAGGACAAAGTGAAAGTGTCCTCGCCTATTTATTTTCCATTCTGCCTTATACACATTTGGCAAATAAATACATTAGGCATTTTCTGAAACAGCTGTAATTTACAATTTCGACTTCAGGAAATTAAAAAAGAGAGGAATTATAAAAACATATAACCAATGACAATCAAATGTTCGTATTATTAAATATACAAATATATTAATATAAAAACTATTACTGATAAATAATAGTAATAAAGTGTTAGTTAGATTTATTCAAATTTGTTGGAAATAAGCATTTAGCAGGCATAGGCACCTCATGACTACTATCACTAAGTCCATTCAATTGGGTATCTGGAGTATTTTTGCCTTCAACAGAATTCAAAAGAAAAGCAACAGAATTATTATTGATTTGTCTAGCAGCAGGCAGGATTGGAGATAAATCAGGACTATGAAATGAGATATCAGTGTAACAAACACCTGGACTGGTGCTACCACAACGAAAATGTTGATCAGATTGTTTTGGAGAATTCATTTGAGATGAACAATATTCAATAGATAAATGCATTGGTCTAGAATAACAACCTCCACAACTGACAACATCTAATGAATTATATGACGCATCATTTTTATTGGTATGTTCAATTGTTGTTCCATTCAGCGTACGCATATTGACTGAATTATCTAAAAGAAAAGAAAGAAAGATGAATAGTAAATACAAGAGGTTGACAAAGTTCAACTTTAGACACTCAAGAGATGTGGACTCACCAATCATTGAGCTACGATTCGAGCACAACCCACCGTGGCAACTCATTCAGAAGTTCTACATCAGACTAGGCTGTGGCCGGACAAATTAGGACGGATCCTTTGACCAGCAACCAGCGCCGACATACGGGTATACACGCCGGGAGGCACTCGCCCAATCCATGACTTAAAGTGCATCGTGATAGATGGAAAGCCAACCCTCGGACAGACGTCGCCACAGGATATCCCGTAGCCCCAATATGCGTTCAAGATGTTGATGTTCAAAGCAGTTTGCAGTTCACATTATTTCACATAGTTGGCTGCACTCTTCATCGACTCACGAGCCGAGTGATCCACCGCTCAAAGTTGTACTTCAATAATCCTACACACCGGTTTCCCAGATGCATAGAACTTAAGGTTCGAGGCTGCAACCCGGGCGCAAGTCTACCAGGCCAGTGTTCATGCAGTCCAGCTTAAAGCCAGGTGCACGCGGAGCAGTAAATCCGTGAATGGCAAGTCAAAACGGATCGCTTAAACAGTGTAAAAAGAGGTAAACATTATCAGGGCGAGGCGCATGCATATATAGCTCACAGCCTTCTTCAAACCCTGCACACAACCATTGGGTCGCGTACTATCCCATAGCCCTTGGCAGATCTGGCAACAAAAGTCACAGGAACACCATCAGAGCATATGATAGGTTAGGTACCCCTAAGAGGTGTGGACTCACCAATCACTTTGAAAAGAGCAAATTTAGTCCACTAATTTTTCCTTAACATAACCCTAATCCACCTTTAATCAATCCTAATATATTAACTCAAACCTAACTTATTCCTAGCCTAAAACTAACCATATACCTTGTTTGATATCATTACACTTCATTTTCATGAATATAGTGTTACTTACCTGGTTTCACTGCCTGAGTTAAGATCAGTGAGTCAAATAATAATAATGATAAAAATTACTATGATTATAATTATTATTATAGAGGACTGAATAAATGTTTTTGTTGGATCATTTGCAATTAAGCGATCTAATCTCAGTATACCTTAGAGATAATTATTCCATCGGAATAGTCAGAACCAATGACTGGAGACAATTGGTGATATGACTGGTGCAGATGCATTTGCTCTTTGTTGATTTATCACATCCAATATAATTCCATTGTTTTTTTCACATTACTATTCTTTTTGCCTTACATTTCAGTTTATTATATCTATTTAGAACTTCCATTAACGCTCTTCTCTTGCTTTGTGTGCTATATGAAATGTGGCAACTCGAAATGCTGCACAAGCGTATCATTCAGTTATTCCATCTATTACACAATCAGATATTCCGTTTTCTTTATGAGTAATAATAATAGGTGGATTTAGTGAGCTAATTGATTGAATTGAATAGAACGAAATATTCCTATATTAAGTCATAAGAAAAAGAAGTAAATAGTGAAGAAAATTTTCTTTTCGACGATTCGTTTTCATAAGCTGTACAATCGTAATGACCAAGAAATAATGGTATCCTTCGACGTCACAGCATTATATACCTCAATTGGACAGAAACTAGCAAAAGAGACCATGAGGCAATTACTCAGCAACGACGAACAACAATCAAAAATGCAGCACACAAGTTGGATGGAATGCATAAACCTATGCCTAAAAACATACTTACAACTCAACGGCCAAATATATGAGCAAGTCAAAGGAACACTGATGGGATCGCCAATATCAGGTTTGATTGCAGAAGCAGTGATGCAAAGGCTTGAGAACATAATGCTACCAAAGATCAAATCCAAAATTTGGATACGTTACGTATATGACACATTTGCAATAATCTAAAGAAACGAGTTAGATAAAACTCACAACATAATAAACAACGCCCCCCAACGACATCAAATTCACAAGAAAAGAGGAATCAGAGAACAAAATCCCATTTTTGGACGTCTTAGTCAAGCGAACAACCACAGGGGAATTAGAAACTCAAGTTTATAGAAAATCAACTCACACAGACCAAATACTGAATTACAACAGCAACAATCCAATAACACACAAAAGGAATTGCACACAAACACTATTCAAGAAGGCAAGGACTCATTGCAGCACTCCCACCTTAAGGAAAATTGAAGAAAAATATTTCATGGACGTCTTCCATATGAATGGATATCCACGGAATCATCAAAAGACATATACCCCCAAACCAACCTATCAAACCAAAAGCCTCCAAGGAAAGCACAAAGAAAATCTCCCTACCATATATAAAGGACATTTCAGAAATCAACGCAAGACTCTACAAACTTTTAGGGATTGACGTCTCATACAAATCAACGAAATCACTTCACTCAGCTCTGTGTCAACCAGAAGACTCAAAAACGAAAGAAAACAAAAAAACGTCATCTACAAAATAATTTGCGACGACTGCGAAAAACACTACATTGGCCAAAGTGGACACCCCCCCCCCGTCTTCGTATCCATGACCATAAACTAGCCGTCAAAAGACATGACATCCACTCCCTCATATGACTACATACAAACAACCACAAACATCAATTCGACTGGGACAACGTTCAAATATTAGACAGAGGAAACACCAAGAATGTTAGAGAATTTTTAGAAGCCTGGTATTCCAGTGAATTGTCAATTAATGGACACATTGACATAGGTAAAATTTACCAATCGATAAGAAGGAAATCTCACACACAAAGGGTCAAAGTTCAAGTTAGGGAAAGAATCAGTTCCAATACAAATAGCCCAGAGGATGTGAAAAGATACAAAAGTAACTAATCACGTTCAAGGTCACCAGGAGAGATGACTAGTAAACTAGTGGAGAAATCTTAAAAGCTGACTTCAAATTGAAGTATGCGCTGAAGATGTTGCCTAGTACAGCAATGGAAGTTTCGCAAATAAACTATCCAGCTCACAAAACACAACCACATCCAAAACAATCGTAATTATATTCAGCACAAAAATCATAATACCAATCAGATACTGGTAAAATTTCTCTTTGAGATATGTATTACGTAACGTAAGGTGCAACCTAGAAGGGGGGATTAATTGGGAGTTGAAAAGAGACAGAAGTTGGCGTAATAAGCGCGAGATAATACCTAATCTATAGGATTGTGTAGAATTGACGAGAACTAGTGGAAATACGATAAAGTGTTTTTACATAAAATCTGTAGGAAAACACAATGTTATTCATAAGCCTAGAAATAAAATGCACACATTCAGTACTGCTTCTTACTTTGACAAGAATAATCAAGGGACCAAGTCCCATGACCTCACTTTGGGTTAGTATTCATCAAACATAAAAACAATATGTTGTTGCATCGTATTTTAATTGATATGATGGAAAAAAATGCGGAATATGAAACCACTTATTATGTTGTAATAGCTCTAAAGGACATTAATGAATGGTAAGTAAGATTCACCTTTTCCTTTGTATACATGATTAAGTCCAAATTCCCCCTTAATTAACACTGCATAAATTCATATGTGTATTTTGCAATGATGAGTATTATATATTAACGAATAAGGAATGTTTAAGATTTAGATTTGTAAGGATTTTAATTAATTTGAATGAGAATTCCGATACGAACCGACATAAGTTAGAGAATCATTGAAAATCAAAGCGCATGAAACTACTGTTTCATCCTAGATCAGGACTCCTAAGCAGTGCACAACCACGATCCTACCAAAGATGGAACTGTATCGAGAAATGACATAAGTTAGAGTTCAAGTGTCAATGGATCTCATCCTACTGGTTAAATGGATTCACTTCGTAATATGAAGGTTAGGATGTTCGTGAGTCGTTGGTGAACACAGCTAGAGAGCCTTGGACAACAACAAAAGAGTATGGCTACATGGTCTTCAGTGACTCCTTTAACTAATGTCGGTTTGTGGTGTGATCTTTTCATTATTATTCATCCCTTGAGTTTCGAGCGGAACATAGGGTTTCAGCATTCCAATCAGTTCTCTGCGATCAATTCCAGCTGGTTCCACAACTGTCCACAAGCCTTCATTTCATCTTTACGACCTCAGATGCATAACTACGTTGATCGCTTTCTTTCCAGTTTCCACTCGAAGACCTTTTGTGTGAATTCAATTCACAGTAGGATCAAATTCATTTCCATTTCCTTCTGAAAATTGGTTGGTTAATTTGTCAGAAGGGTCGCATGTCACTAGCTTATCCTTTCTCACAATCCGATCTTCAGTAACGACAGAAAGGCTATTAGTAGTAGTCTGCACTAACCCGTTGTAAATGCTTTAAGTGACACGTGCGCCAAGTCACTTAACCATAAAGAGGCACTGATTTGACATTATTGTTTAAAATTCGAATCTTGTTCTTTGCACTAAGTGTAGAAGATTCCCACCGCAGTGATTTAACAGTAATAAACACCCGTGTAACTTTCCCGTCCTGATCCTAGCTGGCTTTGACGTCCCCGACCTTGCTACTATCTACAATTGAAATGACGCTTTACATGTGATGTAAGTGAAATACGCGATCTGTTTCGGACTTCTCTCATTGATGGTGGTTGGTATTAGTGTTCTTTATGCTCACCAGAAATGCTATCTGCATTGCCTTTTCTGCGGATCTGTTGAGTTTCGTCGATTTCATATCTTCGAGTTTCAGCAACACAACGCACAAATCACCTGCAAAATTCAAATCCACTAGGTGTTTTTTATTGTCAATCCAACCTGACGAAATATTAGTGGAGATGAAGTGAGGAACTGTTAATAACAGGAAAACATTCCAATAGTAGATTAAAAAAAAACTCTTCTTAACATACCTAGATCCGTTGCATTTGACACACCGTCTTCATTGTGTGTAGCCCCATCACAGCTATCATCATCGTCATCATTATCATCATCGTCACTAATCCCAGTATCAGCCCAGCTGGCAGGCAAACACATTTGTAATGCAGCTGTTTCCTTAATCAATGAACAATTGGTTTCATTTGGACAGAATTTTTCAACACTGAATTTTGTACAAGGATTCTCCATTTGCGTAGAAGACAAATATGTGGAACATGTTGGTTGAATAGATGAAGAGTCTGCTCGATGACAACGATTACTTAAATCGTCGGATGATGTAAGTGTACGCTGTTCATTTAATTCATCGCCATCCAAAACTGCATAACTAAAATATAAAAAAATATAAATTTGAAATTTGTTAAAACCTATCTATCTGAAAGAAATTTTTTTACATACCAGGCTACGATATATTTTTTTTCATTTTTTGATTACAGCTTGATTCCACACTGTATTTTTGGTACAAGTATGGAATTTTCAGCATGTGACACCGGAAGCCCAAATTTTGCAGGCTGACCATTGATATCATGTGTGCGTCGGTGTGGGCTCGAACCCCGGACCATGTGCATGGTCGGCGAGAGTCCTAACCACTGTGCCACCGAAGCACATAATAACCTGTAATGATTGATGATACTATTACTGAGAGTTTTCTAGGCTAGGGTGTAGGATGAAACAATATTCGAATCCAGTACCTGTTGACTGCTGCAGTCTATGAGTCATATCTCCATTAACTTTGAAATTACCATATCATATTTTTTATACCCGACTTTATTCATCTGCGTTGCATATATAAACATGTCTATCGGTGTCGAAAAATCACGTCATCATATTAAAAAGCAAGACGCTTCGAAAGACAATTCGGTATTGACATAATGGATAGTACTTTTACTTTTTTGGAAGACTTTTACAATCAAACACGATAATATTATCAATGAATTGAATCCAGGTAGATCAAGAATAGCCATTGAACCCATATACATAGTTATTAAAATTGATAAGTTATATATGCCAACAAGACAACATGTCGCACAGTATTCTTCTATTCGTATGTATGAGAATGTACTCTCCTAATATTTAGTCTATATGTGGTGTCAGCTGTCTACTAGCCAAAATTGGAAGACAGCAATTTACGTTCCGAATTTGGGTCATGAGAAAAAACAAGAACAAAGACTAACTCAACAAACAATAACAGCAGACTTAGGGTGGACGGATACGATTCGCGGATATATTTGGTCTGACCTACAAAGAACTGGTCATAAAGAGATGACAGATTAACTTTCAGCGAAAAAAAAATCAATCAGAAGACGCTGTTTCTCTGATAATAATAACGAATAATAGTGTAAACAAAAATACATAAATATCTCTTGATTTCCCCAATAAACGATCTGTTGTCTGGCCCTGTTGTTACATGTAACCAACATATCTGTTATAGTAATAATGAAGATATTTGTTATGTAACTCCTACAGATAACTGACTATACGACTCAGTCTCAGTATAGCAATTTTCACAGAAGTGCATCAATTCAAGTTACCACACTTCATGTAGCACACAAACGTAGATAAAGGAGAGAAAAAACAAATTCATAAGAATCATAATGTGCAGAAATGTACGGGAGAAAGAATAGTAACATGGAAAAACATGAGGGTTTAATGGATATAGATATATGGGTCTGCGATATTGAGAAAAACTTTGAGTTATACCACCAACAGTCTCCAACAATATGATCCTAGCATCATGAAGTCAACACCACCCTACAAGGTTGACATAAACTAAACGTCATGCTGCAAATTTCATCGAAAAATCACTTGTCTTTGTTAAGTGAAACGGTAAAATAAACACCTGAGGAATGATACTGTCATTCAAAGCCTAAAATAAACACTGTATAGTGTTTCCGAAAGTGGAGATGCGGCTGACTGGCATAAGTGCTTGATATTTGAATTCCGCTCCACCTACTTCAGTCTAGACAACTGGAGAGTATCATTACCTCTTACACATCAAATGTAGCTCATGGCCTGGTACAGAAGAAACCTGTTCTAGATAAGTGTGTTATATGAACATAACAACAAACTATACTTACTCATGCTCTTCATTAGCCTCTGATGAATCAGAGAAGAGACTACGTCGACTAAGCCAATGACGAGAATTTCTACGCTGTATTGATGCAGAATTATTGCTATTAGCATTATTTGAATTTGAACTGACTGGACGATGTACTGAACAAGCTGACAAGGAAATATTACTTATTACTGGTGCAGATTTTAAATCTGAATGTAACTGATTATCAGTTAGACTTTCTAATTCAGTAGATGTTCTTTTCAACTTGATAATAGATTTCTGATTGGCTGAATCTGTTGTTGAATGATTTTGTTCAAGTACATTTCGCATAATCGATTCAAAATCGAATGATGGAGGCATAGAGATAGCTGTCTGGACAGCAACTAGAAAAAAAATATAAGAAGGGGTATAAAAGCAATTGATATGTAATATGAATTATTAATGGATTACATGGATAACTTAAGCATGAATTCATTCATTGAACAACGACAACAATGAGAATAATAACCCAAAGGTGAGTAAAAACCACTGGATCTCCACCGCCTCATCCGAACTGATAGATGCTAGAAGACTTATTCCGGCGAGCTCCGAATTCAATGAGGAGCGAAAGCTGCACAAGAGGAAACTTACGAAAAGTCTCCGCAAGGACCGTGAACAGTGGTGGGCGACAAAAGCCAAAGAGATGGAGAAAGCTTTGAGGATAGGCAACACCAGGCAACTCTTTGGACTCATCAGGGAAACGGGTGGGAGAAGACAAATCATTAGTGAGACAATCTCGGAAAAAAATGGCACTATAATTAGCTCCCAGGATAGACGACTGGATCGTTGGAAAGAGCATTATGAGGAGCAGTTTAATTTGCCCACAGCCACGCTCAACCTTCCGAGCATCCAACACCTCCCTGAATGGGATATAGACACAGGTCCTCCGTCACTAACTGAGGTTACTAAAGCTGTCACCAATCTGAAACTAGGCAAAGCAGCGGGACCTGATGGAATGACTCCAGAGGTATTTAAGTACGGTGGAGACAGCTTACTGTCCGGATTAACTGAGGTACTAGGCAGCGTCTGGGAATCAGAAGAAGTCCCATCGGGTTGGTGTAAGTCACTGATTATCCCCATATACAAGAAGGGAGACAAGTCTTCCTGTGATAATCACAGAGGGATTAGCTTGACTAATATAGTATCTAAAGTCTTAGGCTCAATAATCATGCGTAGACTGAGTGGTGCTCGGGAAGCACAAACACGAGAGAGCCAGGCAGGCTTTAGACCAGGAAGAGGGTGTATTGATCATATCTTCACCCTCCGACAGATTCTAGAACATAGGCATTCCTACCGGCGTCCAACAGTCATTATATTTCTTGACCTAAAGGCAGCATTCGACTCTGTCGATCGGGAAGTTCTCTGGAGATGCTTGGCTGTAAAGGGAATTCCAAGAAAATATATTGCACTGATTAAGGCACTCTATTCGTACTCATACAGCCAGGTGAGGGCTTACGGCGAGCTGTCATCTGAACTGATGACGACCAGTGGTGTCCGTCAAGGATGCCCATTATCTCCTTTTCTATTCAACTTCATCATAGATGTGTTAATGGACTTAACCCTAGGTGACTTCAGCGATTCAGGGATTGACTTGCTACCTGGGAATAATCTCGTTGACTTGGAATATGCAGACGATATAGTCCTTCTAGGCGAAGACGCTGACGAAATGCAGAGTCTTCTAAACACCTTGAACAGCAATCTACGAATGTTTGGCATGCGATTCGCTCCCGCCAAATGCAAGATGATGTTACAGGACTGGACTACATCGACGCCTAGTTTAAAAATAGGAAGTGAAGTGGTAGAGCACGTTGACCGCTTCACTTATTTGGGAAGTACCATCAGCCCCAACGGGCTGATCTCTGACGAAATCTCAGCACGAATACAAGGGGCTCGTTTCGCATTTGTTAGTTTACGCCGACTCTGGCGTAGACGAGATGTTCGACTATCGACCAAAGGGCGGGTGTACTGCTCATCAGTCCGCTCCGTCCTCCTTTATGGTTGTGAGACCTGGCCACTGAGAGTGGAAGACATGAAAAGACTAGCTGTCTTTGATCATAGGTGCCTGCGTTCTATTTCCCGTGTAAAGTGGCATAATAAGGTGAGCAACATGGAGGTTAGGCGTAGAGTTCTAGGTAAACAGGGGAAATCAATCGACGAAGTCGTGAAGCTACAAAGACTGAGATGGTTAGGACATGTGTTACGTATGCCAAGCCATCGCCTCCCTCGACGAGCTATGTTAGCGGATATAGGGTCAGGCTGGAAAAAAGCTAGCGGCGGTCAAACAAAAACTTGGCATCAGTCAATGAAATCCACAACAGTTGGTCTAAGCCACGTAGGAAGGTGTAGACTTCCAGGCTGGGGTCCTCGGGACGGTAAAAATCTATGGTTGGAAACAATTGGTGACATGGCTCAAAATCGTTCTCAGTGGCGCAGATGCATCCACTCCCTGTGACTTATGATCTTCAATGAAACTGTTTTGTTCTTCTTTATTACTCCTTTGTCTCACACCTCTGCTCACTGTTTCTATTATGCTTTTCTTGTACTTTCTTCTCTTGCTTCGCGTGCTACACGGAATGTGGCGACTTGAACTTCCGCACATTTGTGCAAAGTTCTATGTCGAAAACAGACAGACAGACAGACAAGTGGAGATATGTAGCTTATTCGTCTAACAACTCAACTATAAACTAACAGGTCCCAGCTTGGAATTCCCCTCGATTTACTTCAGCCTGAGAACCTGAGTAATATCGTCAATTTATAATTGGATATCTATGAAGGAAAGAATAATTACGTGGAGAATAGTAAAGGTTTAATGGACCTGAAAGATCTCAAACGATTTTCAGCCATGTCATCAGCAGCCTCCAGTTATCTCTAATGGTTTGGTTTGAACTGGATGATGTTATAATATATGCCTTGTCACTATTACCCCATCAGCACATTGAAGCATAACATTTATGCATAAAATCACCAACTGTTGCACATATCATCTAACTGGAGTACACGAGACAATACAAATTGATGGTTTTTTATAAAACATTGTAGACTTTAACACATTTTTTATCGGTGGCACAGTGGTTAGGACTCTCACCGACCATGCACATGGTCCGAGGTTTGAGCCCTCGCCGACGCACACCTGATATCTATGGTCGGCCTGCAAAATTTGGGCTACCGATATCCACGCTGAAAATTCCATACTTGTACTAAAAATACAGTGTGGAATCAAGCTGTAATCAAAATATAAATATAAACAAGTTTTCTTGTTTTCTGTTCAAGTTCGACGGAAATGATGAATAATTCAGTCATCAAAATGATTATTTTTCGTATATTGAATTGACTTTCAAAGAATACACAATAGAAAAGAAATGTTCAAATTTACAAACCTTTCGCATCCATTGAATTTTTGAAAAATATCTGGCTGCCTGCTTAAATCATCAGGCTACCAAAATGTATTATATTTACTGCATTTCGTGATGTTTTAATCACCCCAACTACGTTCATAAATTGCAGCCTAGAATCACGCATATTTTTTAAAAGATTTCAATCAACTACTGGGAAATATTTAGGAAAACGGGAGAAAACTTAGCGGAATAATGCAGCATACTTTGGATGGGACAAAATTTCTTCAATTGATGCATTCTGTACGGTGTTTAAAACGAACTTCTCAGAATAAAGCTATCATGGTTATTATTATTAATAGAACGGAGAGGAAGATGAACGATTTTTATTTTCTGTTATCATTAGACTTGAAGCACTCGTTTATACACAATCAGACTGGTGAAACTGTTTATACCTAAAACAACTCTTCAAAAGTGAAACTAATTTGATAAGACAAGAACTGCTTAACATTTATAAAATGTTTTAGGAAAATCACAGGGTTAATCTCTTTATTCTGTTACTAATATGCACTGAAAATTCATCTCTGGTAGTTTTAAAGGTAATCGTTGACCATTACAACCATCTATTAATTATTATAATGGCTATATTATCATTATTACTATCTTAGCTCAGCTAACGTCTTTATCTCTTGATTTCCTTACGTAATCAAGAATATAAGGTTATCCACCCATTCCTCTTAATTGTCATTATATTACAAACTGGTTTCACTTTTCCTCATTATTTTCGCCTCTTTTACACGTTAAAATTGACCAACGCATCACCATTTGACTGATATAATTTTAATGGATCATTATTTTTTGAAAAGTTATATGAAGTTATATGCAGAAGCTTTTGAATTCAAAAAAACTGGAGTTTTGAGTACAAAAGATAATAATTCAACTATTTCTACAATCAAAATAACGACACTGTTGTTTTCCACCAAATTGATCGGTTTCACTTTTTAACTTTTTCTAACTACTACGTCATATTAAATTTTCTCTCTTTTCTATAGTTATTATGATGACAAATCATTCATTCAGTTATTTATCTCACTGAATAACCCTTATTTATCTCTTCTTATGAAGTGATTAATATTAGCAGTTATGATCAATGACAACTCATCACTTTTGCTACCATGTACTTTTGTGGGAAAGAAATCGCAAATAAGTGTAATTGTACAGCTAAAGGAAATGAATTGGCCGAAAAAAGCCTCTTCGTTGAACTACTTGTTTTGTTTCCTTATTAATACATGGATAGAGGATTATTCATGAGAGTGCTATGCTTGAGAAATATCGAAAAATAGGATCAGAGAACTCACATAGGCTAGTTTACCACGTTAGTAGGGATTTGATTAATCTTAAGATAGACTTCATCACAAATCGATACCAACCATGAGAACCACTGAAACAACAATATTTGATCCAAACAACATGCCTTCATGAGTGACCAAGCCCGACGACCGTTAGGTTATACGGGTCAATCATATAAAGCCAATGACTTTTTGCATTTTTCAACTTGCAACAACGCCAAATCACCACAAATTAATGTGCCTTGGGCATGCAAACCCTATTGTATTTACAGTAACTAAGGTGTCACACTGACTGGAGTACAGTACACGGCTCAGTGGAGCGAGAATTTCTTTGGACTTCTTTCTCGAATGCATTGAAAGAAACCAGTATCCCAAGTATTATTGAAAGTCTTTACGACGTAGCAAAGTTCGCCCGAATAGTAAGACATTCAAGCGTTACGCATTGAATCAGATCGACTCACTCAAATCATGTATCACGGAATTATCAAAGAATGTCTGTCTGTCTGTTTACGACATAGAACTTTGCACAAATGTGCGGAAGTTCAAGTCGTCACACTCCGTGTAGCACGCGAAGCAAGAGAAGAAAGTACAAGAAAAGCATAATCGAAACAGTGAGCAGAGGTGTGAGACAAAGGAGGAGTAATAACGAAGAACAAAACAGTTTCATTGAAGATCATAAGTCACAGGGAGTGGATGCATCTGCACTAGCCATTGAGAACGGTTTTGAGCCATGTCACCAATTGTTTCCAACCATAGATTTTTACCGTCCCGAGGACCCCAGCCTGGAAGTCTACACCTTCCTACGTGGCTTAGACCAACTGTTGTGGATTGGTCAAAGAATGTAACAGAAAGGTTCTATGCTGTAGACGAGCTCCCAGAGCACTTGAAGAAACAGTTCCTGGATTATGTGAATGAGGTTTCTGGCAAAAGAAGGGAAAAGAAACGTACCAAATTATTACAAAGCCTGGAAAGAAAAACTCCAGAAATGTGATTTCCGCCAAACCCTGGTCGGTATGTTTATAATTTTTTGATGTTGTTCTTGATGACACTGATTTGGAAGTATTATCCCTAGGCACTAAGTTTTGTGATAATCACGTTAGAATTAATAAGATTGATATGCAAATCCAGTTTGAAAACTTTTATGCACACACTGAAGGCTTGACACCCTCGTCAGCTGAGGCAGTTGAAAGTCTTAAATCAACTCTCGTCGACTGTTGTTATAAATATATAAATAGTAAACGGAGACTGAATAGCTTATTGACCAAGAAACACAGGGAAGTCCTAGATAAGCTGCGAAATAATGAGAATATAATAATTTCGAAACCTAATAAAGGCTCTGGAGTAGTAATAATGAATAAGACTGAATACATAGATAAGATGAATGGAATACTCAGTGATCATCAAGAATTTCAAAAAATCACATCTTCCGTCGATCCAACAGAAAAAGTGGAGAAATAGCTAATTGAGTCACTAAAAAGAATTAAACAACAAAGTAGCATCATAGAAGGTTTATATGGATCTCTAAAGCCTACCGGCACGATTACACCAAGATTATATGGACTTCCAAAAGTGCACAAAATTGGTTTGCCACTTCGACCAGTGTTAGACATGTGTAATTCCCCATATCATGCTACAGCAAAATGGTTAGTGAAGCTCCTCAAACCTCTGCATAATGAGTTAGTAAAGCAAAGCGTAAATGGCAGTTTTGAATTTGTTGGAAAAATAAGAGATCTTAATGTGAGGGACAAGTTTATGATATCTTTTGATGTATCCTCCTTGTTCACCAATGTACCGTTAATGGAGACAGTGGATTTTATATGTGAGGAGATTACTACACGAAACATAGACATCGGTATTTCCGTATCCACCTTGGAGGAACTTATTTTAAGATGCACAATGAATGTTCATTTCTTATTCAATAAGGAATATTACAGACAAATTGATGGTGTAGCTATAGGTTCCCCATTAGGCCTAATCCTAGCTGATTTTTTCCTCGCTAAGTTAGAGAATGAACCTCTGAAAGGAGTAATTAGTGACTTGGATTTCTACTTTCGATATATGGATGATACATTTCTGGTCATGAAAAACGACGACGATGCAATGAACATCCTTGACAAGTTTAACGATGCCCATTCAGCAATAAACTTTACCATAGAGAAAGAAAGTAATGACAGTACCTCATTCCTAGACGTCTTCATGGCAAGGAAAGAAGATGGCACACTAAGAAGGAGTGTGTACAGGAAACCTACTACAACAGGTCAGTACATTCATTTTTTGAGTTTTGTACCTTTGAAATATAAACGTAACCTGGTAAAGTGTCTGGTTCATAGAGCTAGGTTAATCTGTTCAGACGACTGCTTCAATGAGGAGCCTAAGATTATTAGAGAATTACTTAGAAAAATGGTTATTCAGATAAGTTCATCGAGAAAAATATGAATTCATCACCTAGGACAGTCACTATGGCAACAGTTCCGAAAAAACCATTGTTCATAAAACTGTAGTTCCTCGGTGACATCAGCGAAATAATAACACAACGACTGAAGAATGCAGTTAAAAGAGCTTGTTATGCAGCAGAGGTACGTTGTCTCTTCACAACCACACCTATTCTACGTTCGAGTAATAAGGATAAACTACCTAAATTCGCCTCTTCTATGTGTATCTACCAGCTTGACTGCAGCTGTGGAGCCAGCTACATGGGGCGCACAATTAGGCAGGTTTATCATTGTATTTCCGAACATCATCCAGCATGGTTAAGTAAGGGACAAACAGGATCTATTCGTAGCTAGCTCTATTTTAGCCCACCTTGTAGATAGTGAGCATAAGGTTGATGTTAATACTGCATTTAAAATTATTTATCGCATTCCTACTAATCTTAATTTTGCTTTACGAGTTCGTCTTCTACATACAGCTGAAGCAATAGGAATCCACCTGAAGAAGCCAAAATTGTGTGTTCAAAAGAAATTTGTACAGCCACTTTCCTTACCTTGGGCATCGATACATGATTGTATAAACCGGACTACCCCCCAAAAATTTTTCTTTTTCAAAAAAAACTATAATTGTCCAAATTATTTTTCTGACTACTTCATCTTTAATTACTTGTTATCCTTGTAAAAATTATATTATTCTTATGACCACTTCAACTTTAGTTACAAATTATCACTGTTCAAATTGTTTTATTTTCTTTAACAATCTGTTACCTTATCATCCTGTGCACACGCTTATTCCTTAATTGTTCATTTTTCCAAAATTATGCATTATGCAATCCACTTGTTGTAACCATTTCCATATATATATATATATATATATATATATATATATATATATATATATTAATTTTCTTCGTTAATTATCACCATATTGACATTTTGACACAGACTAATTATTGTTAAAGAACATATCGTCACTTGATTGGTAAATATTGTTGTGTATTGTAATAAAAATGCTATATATATATATTAGAGTAGAGCCAGAGATGAGGATCTAATGAAAAGTAAATATTTTTTCGCGCAATCTTTATGTTTTCTAAGTGTCTAAATGGGGATTTTTTCTATATATGGTGTTTACTTGCCAACAATAAGAAACATAATGATAGTATAGAATAAGCTACTCTGAATAATTATAATTATTGTTATAGGAAGAAACTCACCTTCACACATGGGATTCGAATTGTTTTCTAGCATGTAAGAATTCTTTTTCTTTTTTCCTAAAGGAGTTGCTAGAATAAATGCAAGAGAAACAAAACAGGATCCTAAAGGTAGACTATCTTAAGTAGTAAAACAAAACGTTATCCGACATGTTTAAACATTTACTCGTCAAACCCCTAAAGTATTCGAGCATAACATCAGTTATTATTTAAGCGCTATTATACATATCGATAGCGTGTGCAACTAGACAACAGTAGTATTGTGGTGAGAGCTGGCTGTTAGCCAAGATTGGTGGAGAGTAATTCACGTCAATGTTTATGTCCCAATTTTGATCATGAGAAAAATGAGAACAAAGGCTTTGCGTAGGTGGATTCAGTTAACATATAGATGATCTGACATTCACGAAACAGCCACAAAGAAATGCAAGGTTAACTTTCTGTGAGAAATAGGCAATCAGAGGACTGTGTATTTCTGCTATCAAAAATCTATAAGTATGTGTTGAATTCCTTAATAAACGATCTGTTGCCTGGCCCTTGTCTTCTGTTGTTACAATATGACATGATCTGAAATTGGATGAAAAATCATGTCATAAAAGAAAATACTGGATACCCGTCAAAACTTTTCGACCCAATCAACAACACACCAGAACAATCCAAAACAGTAGAATGCTGAACTGTACTCAGTATTATGATTGATAATGTATAGAGTAAAAAGAGCTTCTTTAATAGGCTTCCACTGAATTGTAACGGAAAACTTTGCAAAGGAATGCTTATTTGGAATTTAGTACCTCTATACAGAGAAATTATGTACACTTTAACTTCGAATCACGATTTTTACAGATCTTCCGTGTTGTGCTACTTCTGGCCTTCACACATTGTGTTTTTTCATGTTCCTATCATGTCTCCTCGTAACACTGAATCATTTGCTTTCACTGACATCAAATCTCTTTCTCCCCGTTATTTGATGTTTTTATACTAATGAATGTCGCTTTATATACTACTGATAAATCTTATCAGTAACACACACCACAGAATGCTCTTTAGAATGAAACAAATGCATAAATGATATGCATGACTAGGAAAACTCATATTTCTCTAGAAGTTTTCCCATACTAATGATAGTAGAGCTTTAGCTCATTAGTCTAGAACTCTCGACTTTGACATATATACATATTAAATTTTTGAAATAACGAGTTTTCTTCCCTCCCCTTGTAAGTATCCTTTAATTTTGTTAAATTCTACAATTCTAGCTAATTGTATTTTACGTAATTCTTCTGAGTCATCCCAATTCTTATAGTCATCATCATTTTACAAATTTCTTGATTATTTCATAACCTGTTGCTAACGCCTAAGAATCAACTTAACTTGAATTCGGTAATTAATTTCCACCCCTTCTTCAAAACGTGGATATCTTGTTATTAACATCTATTAGTTAGTTGTTTTGATGACTTTTAACCCCTTAATTTTACCGCTCCCTCTATACCTAAAACTTATTAACTAAAATAACCACTTGAAATGTAAAAAATTTTGATGTAGAGAGCCGATGATGCGGGACTAATTGGAAAGAAATATATTTCTTCGCTCAGTCTGTTGTTTCAAAAAACACGAAATTTCATTGTTGACGATATTTCTTTGATATCAGATACATTACTTAATGTCAACAGGTTGGAAAATAACACTTTCAAAGCATTCTGCCTATGTTGATATATATGTATTGATCACAATTTACAGATAAGTAAGCAGCTTAACACTTGCAACAGAAAGACGATGCAATGCACACGGGGAAAAATGAGTTGAAACATGGTTCACTGGGTTAAGCACTAGATTCATAACCGATTGGTCTCGAGTTCGAATTCCCTCCTACCTTCAGCCTGGGTAAATGAACAGTATCAAAAATCCTTACACATCAATTATAGCTCGAAGTCCGGCACTCGGGAAACTAAGATGTAACTATTAAGTTTCTACAGTTTAATTGCCTTTATACCACTTTCCTTACAGACAGATAGGCAATATCCCATGAAAGGTTCTACTATTGACCGGATGTAGACTACCTGGTTGGAGTCCTTAATATGCTGGGAACCAATAGCTGGAGAATGCTGGTGAAATGTTTTGAAGTTGTTGTCAATCGCAGAGATTTATTCACTCTAGGATTTTCGAAATGCATCAAATTCTTTTGGTTATCCAAGGAGTTATTCTTCAACCCGCAGATTTTTTTCATTATGGTTTCTTTTTGTTTTTTCTGTCTTCGTGTGCCTCATGAGCAGTTCCACACTGAAAATTCAGTCAGTCTTCGACCAGGGTTAGTGGAACGATACATCGTTAAACACACGTTATTGCGTCATTTTATTGAAAGTTGAACTTCTGTATGCAATAGCCTACACAATACCTGACTGCTGATAAAAACATGCATATACTTACATAGTTAGTTGCTTAGAACTCAGTTACTCAGTATCAGCCTATGAATGAAACTTATAATATGACGTGGACTGATAATCCAACCCAATCGCCTAGGCCAAATTAAGGCGAGTAGGATACGAACCCCAGACCCACTGGCTGGATTTTAAGTGCATACGCCAGCTAACTACATTCCAATGTAAAACTAAATAGAATACAGCAAATGTCAACAAAAAGTATAGTAGATTATTTTTTTTAGTATCGTTTACCTGTTGGCAGAAGAGATGAAGTCCGTGGAAGGAGGCTGGTATGGGCTAAAAAACATTTGGGGAAAAATGATTTCAGGAAAATTATATGATATCATCTGATGTATACAGTTAAATTAACAGTTTCTGACAGAAAAAAGATGATCATAACAGACTGAAGTTAAGGAAAAAAAAGGAAAATATTACTCCATAAAAGGTAAACGTTATCTTTAATTTTTTTCATTCACTTTATGATTATTTCAATAGAACAAGAGTCAATCTTAAAAGCGATAACAGTTATGAAGCCACTAAACTTGAAGAAGTGACTGCATTGAATCTCAACCTTTGGTCAAAACCCAACTACGAAACCAAGTGGTTGACTTACTTAGTGTTCACAAAAAGTATTAAAGTGCTTCACTTCCTTTATACAGCTAAGTAGATTATATCACAGCTACAGAATCATTAAAAGCATAGGCTTAAGAACTTGTCTTTTAGCCGATAAGTTCCGATCGAACCCAAAATATTTAGAATATGAAGTGAGTACGTTACAATTCAGACGATTTTTCATGTTGCTACGTGTTGACAAATACCGTTTAATTTACGGGTGTTTGGTGTGGACAGCCGGAAGTAACAACCGCCCACACACTTCCAAAAACACATGAAGCCCTCCTGATCGTCATCCTCCTTTATCCACGTCACCCTCATCATCTTGTTTCTCTACTACTACTACATCCCCGATAGCCCCTAAAAGCCATGCTACCAACTTCACATAGGGGCATTTAACGTCAAGACACTCCGCCAAATTGGACAACAGGCATCACTAGCCAGAACTACGGCATATAGAGTCATGGATGTATGATGTGTTTCGGGACAAACATACAAGACTCGAGTTTGGTTATTCACTTAACCCAACCGGCCAAGAAGGTGAATCTGCAGAATCAGGCTTATGGGTGTCAGCAGACTCTTTAGCTAGTTCACGAGGACTAAGATGTGTACGGATAACATTGACTGTTGGGGTAGGAAAACCCCCTTCTTGACTGGATCCCAGTAGATAGTCGTATGTGTGCAGTCCATCTGAACGGCTGCTTTAAAAGAAGGACGAACGGCGTTACCCGTCGTTGTCTTTCAATGGTCTCCGCCTACACACCAACTGACTGCAGTTCGGATGAATTAAGGGATGATTTCTATTAGAAACTATCTAGTTTGCTGCGTAAGGTAAAACGCTCAGAAATAGTTGTTTTAACAGGCTACTTTAATGTCCAAGTAGGGAAGTTATGCCATACTGAGAAGTATATAGGTGATGCGTGCGAAGTCCTCTGTCACCGAGCCGACAATGGTGATCGTCTTCAACTGTTCTTAGTCAGCACTGATCTTAGGCATACAGACACTGCCTAACTTTATGCCAAATACTGCGCTGAAGATGTTATCCAGAAGGACGACGAAGGCTCTGCAACTAAACCAATCAGCTTAGGGAGCACTACTAATTTTAACGAATAGATCACGGATTGATATCAGTTAGAGAACCATTGAAAACCAAGGAGTACTGGACAGTAGTTCTATAACTGATATCAATCCGTGATCAACTCGTAAAAAAATAACTAACCCTTACAAAACAAACTATAGAACACTACTAATTGCAAAACACTGCCTAACCTGGCGACCTCTATCACCAAATCAACGTTGGACTCAAAACCGACCACATAGTGATAGGATATTGTTGGAGGGTGAGTAGAAGACGGCCGCTCCTCCTGGAACACGTGCTTAGACTTCGACCACGTCCTAGTTCCTGCACGTTTATGCTTCCGACTTAACAGACATTAAAAACTGTTGGCGGTGAAGCAGTTGCGCTCCTAACTTAATCAGGACACTGAGTTCCTGTTCAAGGAATAAGTAGCCGAACGCGCATTTGAGACCGATAGCACAACTCATCCTGAAGAAGCCTGGCACATTATACAGTTAGCTATAGTAACAGGGGTAAAGACTTTTAATAACCTAAAACTAAAAGTTAGTAAGAGCCAGTGGATTTTTACTACCTCATCCGAACAGCCACGCTTAATTCACGCAGCATCCAACACCTCTCTGAATGGGATATAAACACAGGCCCTCCGAACTTAACTGAGGTTACTAAAGCTGTCACTAGTCTGAAACGAGGCAAAGCAGCGGGACCTGGTGGAATGACTTCAGAGGTGTTTAAGGACGGTGGAGAAAGTTTACTGTCTGCTAACTAAGGTATTAGGCAGTGTCTGGGAATCAAATAGTCCGATCGGGCTGGTGTAAGTCATTGATTATCCTGACACACAAGAAGAGAGACAAGTCTTCCTGTGGTAATCACAGAGGGATTAACTTGACCAATATGGTATATCAAGTTCTAGGCTCAATAATCATGCGTAGACTAAGTGGTCCTTGGGAGAAACAGACACGAGAGAACCAGACATGCTTTAGAGCAGGAAGAGGATGTATTGATCATAACTTCACCCTTCAGCAGATTCTGGAACGTAGACATACTTACCAGCGTCCAACAATCGTCATATTTCTTGACCTGAAAGCGATACTCGATTCCGTCCACCGAGAGGTACTATGGCGGTGTTTAACTGTGAAGGGAATGCCGAGAACATACATTACAATGATCAAGGCATCAGGTGAGAACCTACGGAGAGTTGTCACCTGAAGTGATGACAACCAGCGGTGTCTGTCAGGAATGCCCGCTGTCCCCATTTCTGTTTAATTTTATCGTAGACGTACTAATGGACTTAACCCTCATCGACTTCAACAACTTAGGAATGGACTTTTTGCCAGGGTATAATCTCGTTGACTTAGAATATGCAGATCATATAGTCCTTCTAGGTGAAGACGCTGACAAAATGCGGAGTCCTCTGAACAACTTGAGCAGCAATCTTCAAGTGTTTCGCATGCGATTCGCTCCCGTCAAATGTAAAATGATGCCGTAGGACCGGACTGGACTACATCGACCCCTAGCTTAAAGATAGACAGGAGTGAATTGGTGGAGTATGTTGACCACTTTAGTTATTTGAGAGGTTGCATCAATCAACGCTAGCGGGTTGATCGCTTATGAAACTTCAGCACGGATACCGAAGGCTCGTTTCGCATATATCAGCTTACATCATCTCTGGCGTAAATGTGATATTCAGATGTCGGCCAAGGGACGTGTGTACTGCTTAGCAGTCTACTCTGTCCTCCTTTATGGCTGCGAGTGAGACATCGCCATTGAAAGTGGAAGACATGAAAAACTGGCTAGCTGTCTTTTATCATACATATTTGCGTTCTACCTCTCGTTTTGGGTGGCATAATAAGGTGAGTAATGTCGAGGTTAGGCGTCGAGTGCTAGGTAAGGAGGGTAAATCAGTCGAGGAGGTAGTGAAATTACATTGATTGAAATAATTAGGAAATTTGTTACGCATACCTAGCCACCACTTTCTTCGACAACGCGTAATGTTAGATGACATGTTGGAAGAGAGTTAGCTAGTGGTGATCAAACAAAGACACGGCTTCATCGGTCAATGAAATCCATATCAGTTAGTTTAAGGCAGGTAGGGAAGCGTAGACTTCTTGATTGGGGTTATCGGTATGGTAAAAACCAATGGCTAGAGACAATTGGTGATATGGCTCAAAATTGTTTTCAATGGCGCAGATGCATTCACTCGTTGTGATTTATCATACTCAATAAAACTCTATTGTTCTTCCATACTACTATACCTTTTGCCTCACACTCATGTTTATTATCTCTCTCTGCAGCCTCTCTTTACTCTCTTCTCTTGCTTTGAGTGCAAGATGGAATGTGGAGATTCGAATTGCTGCACATATGTGCAAATTACTATGCTGAAGCCAGTCAGTCTGTCAATCAGTCTGGGAAATTTCAGCGACATGAAAAAGCTCACTTCCAATACACATGGGAAAGTGGAAGGATTGTGAAGCTATCCCAAAAGAGGAATTATCATCTAATCAAAATTGACAATCACACGGTTTCAAATACTTTGTCCTAAAAGATATACTTCATTATCACCTATTTAAGGTTGAATGGGAAAGCAAACAATGACTAATGCAAAAATTTAATTTACCGACGTATACAAGTTAAAGTTACCTTCAGATATAAAAAGATGATCGGTATGATTTAAAATCTTCACAAAGTATTTAAAATGAAACTTACATTTTGATGGTGAGTCAACAAAAGTATCAGGACTAGGTGCGATTAGGTGATTCTTGAAAAAGCTGTGAATTGTATTTTGAATTTCATCGTCACACTAAAAATTTTAGAAGAAAGAAACCAAAAACAAAATTTGCAAGGAGTTATACTTCCACCTTATTGTAAAAAGTGTAAGAAAAATATCTCCAAGTGCTCAGATTGTCTAGACAATTAACTTGCAGTAACAGTTAACAATCAACATCCTGACAGCAGCTTTGTTAACTGCTACTACGACAGTAAGGCAATAATAACATGTGGATAAAAACTTAATATGTAAAGCAGAATGTGATTACTAAGTATAAACAGATCTTCAAATACTTTTCTTAATGTATAGTTAATTGTGCAAGGTAGCATGAGTAACAGGTTGCCCAGTCTCCAAAACGTATTCACAACATTTATTTACTCAAACGCAAAGTGGGTACAATATGGGCACGGAGAGTCGAACAACGCAAAGAAAACAACAATCAAACAATATATGGTATAGAAGCAGAATAATTAAGGAACAGGACCATGAGAACGGGTAAGCACACTTACTGAGAACATTTAGGGTTTTTATCACTTTCACAAATGGACAAAAGTAGGAGATTGCATGTTCACTACTGATTACGATTCTCGACCACATCAGATAACGTGTCGAGTTACCAATCCGGATTATCCCCGAATTCCACTAGGGGAGTCGTGATGCACCGACAGATGCTACTCTAACACAATTACCATCTATCTCGCACAGCTACATGATGGGTTGACCACCCCTCCAGTTTTTGCAGTCACAGAGCTGGCGAACGGTATTAGGGCTGTTAGGATCAAATCCGTAATACATGTTCGGATCACTGAAGCTGGTGTTCGAAGATCAGAACACGTAGTGGAAGACGATGCCCACTATTTACAAACACACGCCGTCGGAACTCAGAACTACTTATATGATAATCCCAACGAATGCAAGCAATTCTACACGGGGAGTGATAATCAAGAGTCGCCACATGTCCTAAGCTCGGACAGGCCTGATCTCACAGGAATGGAGCAGGACTAAGTGAAGCCCTCATTATTCTTCTAGATATCTTCAGTGCCTGCTTCAATGTGTAAAAAATAACGGTATTATAGGTAATACAATTACTGCAACAACCTCGCCGAGCGGAAATTTGGCTAGTCGAAAAAACTATTACAGTACATGGTGAAGTGAGTCATTAAATGGCATGTCAGTGGTGTCTAACTTGACTCAATCTGATTACGCTCATCTTAACTTTCTAGAATTTACTTGACTATTTGAAGTCGTGAGTTGGTCTGTTTAGACAAGAAGTGTGACAGCTTATTCTGGTAGTTACAAGCACTACCAACATAATATTACACAGTACGAACCCATCATCTAAAAAATTCAAAATGTATACAAAACATTCCAATTAGTGTGAATGCTCAAAAGCGATGAATATGACAAACATACTTGTGTATCAAGCTTTTCTTGAAGTTTCAATTGCAAAATTGGATTCTCATCTATATCTGCAGGAAACAAATCTCCTTGGATGTCAGGCGATAAGTTGAAAGGTGCATTTTTCCGACTGGGAGTATTCCTCCTTGAACCACTTTTACCTATTGGACTTGGATTATAGGCAAATATTCCAGGGCTGAAGTTCACTTGTCCAACACGATTAAGAAACTCCTTGTGAAATGGATTGAAAATCAAACCGCCTGATGGAGTAGTTATTCCAAATTCATCACCATATGGAGATATTTTTACTGGTGTAGCTAGCCCAGAATTTTCCATTTATATACAAAAAGTGAGAATATCACAAGCTGCAAATAATAAAACAGAAAGTTACAATAGGAAGTTCCTAGTTCACTACTGTTCACAATGGCTGGAATTCAAATCCAAAGGCCAAATATAACAACACGAGTGACCAGATACATGTACCAAGGAACGGTTATTTCATGCGAATGCTTAAAAGTTAAAATGTCACAAATAATACAATGTGAAGTAGTTATAGTTGGAAATCCAGTTCACCCTTTGGAGCTTGAATAAGCCGGCTAAGCTTTGCGAAACCATTCCAGAAATTTCGTAGACGAAGTGAGTATTAATCAGAAGACTAATACACTGATGTAGCACTCAGTAGTGACGCATACATATTCAGACCAGTGAAAGAGTGATTGATATCTTTAGACAATTCTAATACTTGCTGACACTTAGCTAACCAATAAAGATTCGTTTAACTGAGTAGCTTTTGCATATTTTCTTTTACTTTCTATAATACGACCAACATGGAATAGATTTCAGAGATAAAACCGAACCCCATGTAAATGGATTCAGTGAAATAGAAGGGGCTTATAATGCAGGTGAGGTGGAAAGGATTAGAACATCGGCATAGAGACAACTATAGGAATATTTTATATTAAAACAAGTCGTAATATAAGCAATCCAAGCATGAACAAATTACCACCGGAAGCACTAGATATTACCATCTTAGACTTATGAATTTGGACTCCTTATTCGAAAATAAGCAAAGAATGCTACTTACTAAGCTAGATAAATAATGCATTCCCACATTCGTATCTAGAGCGGTCTGATGCAATAGATTCAGTCGCCTAAACAACAGACGTTACAGACTCACCTATCATTCATACATACATTCTCACTTATGTAGATATATGTGCACAGAACACGAATTAAAAAGGCACGTTAGTTGACAGTAAAGCTAACCAATGGTCGCTTTACCGTTGATACCATATTGTGTACTTTTACATAAGTACAAATGACAGGGCAACTAGTCCGCGTAAATAACCAAAATACTAACTGTTTTTATCCACTATACCGTATCCGGGGAGCACTATTTCAAACAGACTAAACTAGTTTAGCTGTTTCGAAAGTGGGTGACGTCGCATTCAGTTTTATTTCATGTCGAATGTCTTTAAGAACAACTGTCTGCTGAAGCATGAAGACCGAAAACTGTTATCCATCAAGTGTTTGATAACTCAGACTTAGAAGACCTGAGTGCACTAAGATTTTTGTGTAACAACACAGCCCACACGATCTACAAAATCTAAGACCGCGCGCGACAACGAATTAGAAAGAAGCACATTGACTACAAAAATATAGCTGCTGATGCACTTTAACGAAAACCTTGTTCCATGACCATCTGTGAAAACAAGAGGAATTAAGAGAGACGCAACTGATATGCAAACAGTAGTAAAATATGAAAATGTTGATGAAAATAGATAAACCTATGGAAGAAGAGGGGAATTCTTTTAAATGAAGTTGGTAGTAAATCCTAATCCTCAACGGAAGCTACTACTCAATCAATAGCTTTCATTTTTTTCGTTGGCGTCTGACCCTTGTCTTTTCGTCTGTTATAAATGTAGATGGCCACTTCACATGCACCATCAGTGAATACATTAATAGCGACCTTTTCAAGGATGTAGAGTCATTACAAGCCTAAGGTTTGAATGATGATGTATAAGTAGGTGATTTCAAATCCTGACTAACTTCAGTCTAACTGTAGATCTGCGCTATTTCTACTACAAAGCAAAAAGAAGAGAGGAGAAAAGCAGCAAAGTGCCAGAGGGGAAAGAGAAAGTATGTGGACACGGATAGGACGTTAATATTTGCACATATATGTTTATGATCGTTGTACATTTCCATCTAGTAAACATATATATTTATTCATAGTCTTTCTGTGTATCCACGCAACTAGTCTGTTTATCGTCTATAGACCAATTAGGGAAGTTTGGCGTGTTCTTTAGGTACTGTAGTAAACTAATAATTGATTCGTTCGAGAAATAAATAGCTTATTAATATAATCAGTAGAGTGAAACAGTCTCTACAGAGAGTGTTTGAAACTTATAACCGAGATGCAAGTTCTGACTTCCAGAGGCAGGCTGTTCCATATTTTAGAATACATGACTGTGAAGAAGATTCCTTGGAGTGTCAATTACAAGGCTTTTATCGTCACTGTGCAAGTTTGGTTAAGCTGATCGTAAGAGCTTTCCGGTGAGAGTTGTGTGTCTTTATTTCCTGAGAATGATATTTTGTGTAGGATCCCAAAGAAGAATACTTGGTTTATAATAAGTCATCTGGTCCAAAGTTGGTCAAGATTTTGGATCATGCACCACGAGATTTAGTCTTTATTACAATGGAAGCCAAGTAGTTTGGACGTGAAATGGCGTTGGATACTTTCCATCCTCAGCTTGTCGCATATGCAAGTGCTACTAAAAAATGGACAGTATTTTAATGGTGGGGTTACACATGTTTTGTATATAATTAGCTGGGCTTCGTTGTTGTGAACGTTCGTGAGCATGCATTCTAAGGGCATACCCGACTTTCGAGTCTGTGTCGCCAGTTGCTCAGAGAATATTACGTCACTAGAGTATCTCAGGCCTGAGTCAACGATACTTCTGAGTCTCCGTAGGTTAGTAGATTGAAGCGTTAATTTTATGGAGACCCAACCACATGTTTTCAGACTGAATTGTAGAATACGTTTTGAAAGTTCAGCAGAAGGTGAGCACATCACAAATGCATCTACTATCAGATAAAAACACCACATATGCCCTAAAGGAATGTAAATTAAGCTGGGAACAACTACATTTAAAGTACATGTGGTGCCCGTATTTACTTTAGGAAACAAAATTATCGGAAAACAGTCGGAATCGTCTTAAGTGTTATCTACCGTCGTTTATCCTTGACGTACCAAATCTAAATACATTGGTTTTCCGTCAGCGTTATGCATAAGCTTTAAGTTCACTGAATCCACGGTTTATAATCGCTGCTGTACTTGAGAATATTTGGTGATGGGTGCCATAATTCGTAACTTAAGTGCTTCGAGATTAGCCATAATATAGCTACTGTTAATTTTTTCATTAGAATCCGAAGAGCTTATCGAATGTGTTGTAAAATGACTCAGAAAGCGCGTGATATACGAAGATCCACTGGGTATCAGAGGCGAGACTTCGTAAGCAAGGATAACCTCTCTGACTGTGGTTTACAATCGATAGCTTCTTTGAAATCACAGCTATTTAGGGAACTGATTCTCATTTAAGATGAAACGAACCACGAACTCCCAGTGATGCGCTACCTCACGTAAATCCTGTGCCATGTAGATAAAAGGTTTCTGTGAGTCAACTCTCCGTTGCATCTTCGCCGCTTACTTTTCGTGCATCTGTAATTTCTTTGCGCACAAAATAGCAGTATGTATATGATTCTGGGAAGAAAAATTCAGGAAGACATGCCCTTGACCAGTGGCCTTGATTTTCTAACCATAATTGTCGAGAAGTTATTTGACAAGATTAGACTAATGGATAGTGAAGTGGTATGTTCCGTGGCTGCGAACTGTAAGCGCTTTGTATAACCATATGGAAGTCACGTTGCCCCTATGGCAAATTATGACGTTCAGATGTCAGAAGTACACTGTCCGCCGCAGATTTATTTTCAATTAGTAGGTGATGGTGAACAGTAAGTCGGTCCAGTTGTTATGGTGTAGTCGATTGAATCAAGTGGACTTCAGCAGTCACACTTCCAGCGACCAGTTTGCTCATCTGTGCGGATTGAAACACATGGTGACCAATCGGATTTTAACGGTACAAAAGCTCGGTCGATGTATTGTGGTGTGATTGTGTGCGTTTATACTCTCTTCATATCATCGTAAATGAATACGACTTTGGGCAGTCATGTTGTATACTCACTTCGATAGTATGGGTGATTTTAAGAACAGCCCGCCACCAGATTTGGTGGGTCAGGCTGAAGAGCTGGTAGACAGTGCGGCTACAGCTAACCGGAAGTGAGTTCAAAGTCGTTCAAGCAATTAAACAACTAGTTCCTTATAGTAGCAGTACGGTAGGTAACTCCAGACGCTTTTTCCGAGGTGTGGACATACTCTCTTCAGCCATAAGATAATATTTTGTCAGGAAAGACCTCGAATGTATGCTTTAACTTATTAACTCAACAATATTAAGTTACCAGCGTTGTAGTTTTAGATTATATTTAGCAGGATATATTTTAAAGTAGCTACGTGCCTTACGCAACGCGCAACAGTTGCAAACAGTGTGAGTTGATTTGGTTTCAGTGTATTTATACACTGTTTAACTGGTTAAGTCGTAGTTCTTGAGTACCTTATTAAGTGAACTTATCAGTAATGAATTATGTAGAATTAGACTTGAGGTTGACGTTACGTTTTTAGGGTTGCTTCGTGTTCACTTACTGCCATTAACACTAGGACCACTTACATAAGATAGGTTTTCAGCTTCTTCAGGGCGTTATGGGGTGGAAGTATCGTCATCAATCTAGCCTGGTGAGCTTTTAGTTACGTAAGTTCTCTGCACAGTGCGACTATGATTTGTATACTTTGCTCATGTCCATCACGCTTATATAAGGTATGTGCCTAAGACTAATACACAGTATGCTTCTGTAAAACACTACTTTCGCAATTGAGCAAGGAGGATAACTTGGCATCACCAAAGTTCATTGGTTCTGATTAGCTGCACATACCATGAAGCGACGTATTTTTGGCATCTGGTAATAAGTAGCTGGATAACAAATGTGGCTCTAGTGTATTGAACGTCACGGCATCGTTCTTCAACCAGCTAAATCCCGCTTAGTTTTCACAATGTGCTACTACGCAGGAATGGAAGCAAACTCCTAATTATGACCAAAATAACAATCCCGAAATGCTAAAGTGTCTCTATTCCATTAATCGGCATATCCTGTATTATGGTGCTTTTCTTCACAATGTAACAAATAAGACGGTCGGTGGCTTTCAAAGATTTAACACTCAAGGTTTTCGTAAGTGTTTGAAATCTCTGGAACCTTCCTAGAGTCTAGGCCCCATTGGTTTACCTGCTGCTGTCCTCATGAGATGTGCTGAAATATTGTTACCCATTTACAAAGATTTTCAATACTTCCTTTTCCAGTAATGCCATAACTGCTGAGTGGAAAGACATTAAAATCATCATTGTACCCGAATCGGCTTCTGGTTACTATGTTAAATTTAGACCTATTGGATTTACCTCTCCTTTCTCGAAATTGATGAAGAAATTACCTTTACTCAACCTTGTACTCCCTTTAGAATGTTTAAATGATCCCAAACAGTTGGCTCATAAGCAAGGCAGAAGTACTTTAGACGCTGACACTGTATAACATCAAAATATTGTCTCCTCCTTAGAGGAAGTGACCAAAAATGAACATCGTAACTTCTTGGGTACACAGCTGCCTTCGACTCAGTACCTAGATGTCTTTTGTTAAATAAGCTTTCCATTTCGCAACCTAAGGCCTGGGCTGTTGGCTAGTTGCATACTTATCTCTCAAATAGAATGCAGTAGACTGTATATAGGGTGAATCCTTTTCAGCCCTGCTCACTGAAGCCAGTGTTCCATTAGATGTTATTCTCTCTCCTTTTCTGTTTTCCTACATGACTTACCTACTGAACTTATCCCACGCGCTCGAAGTCATTGGAGGGGGCTGGACATCTGAAGGTCCATGTTGGATTTCCATTCCCTAACCGTTCGCTTACACATTATTTTTTATGTTTATCCTGCACTTGTTCACAGCTTATCATCAGCATAGTGTTCCCAAAGGTCTCACCTCATTTTTGTTTCCGTTGCTGTTAAAATTATTTATTTCATTTGTTTCGAAAAATTTGGCCACCGTGTCAGTTCATCCACTCCACTGTAGCTATTTCATACGTTGCATGCATGGTTACAATGTTTTAGTTATTTTTCAGCCGTTTATGAAACAGTACTATGTAGTAGTTTTGGAAATTATGCACATGAACACGTTTGGCTGCCGTCAATGTTGCTGGCTCAATTGGTCACATTTTATGTAGAAATCTGGTAGAAAGGTTGTCTTTCACATGTAGGTTTATTGCATGCAAAAATCCTCGAGTAAATCTGTTGGAGGGAGCACGATCAGAGTTGAAATAAAAAGGTTTCCGAAAAGCGTGTTAGACCTAGAGAATTTAGAACATGGGTTAAAGCTGAAAAAGCTTAAACGATTTTCGAGAAGGTAAGCATAATTTCGATGTGTCCATTATCAGTTAAAAATTAGACATAATGTGAGAGAATTTAAATTACACAAGGATGAAACACATGTGTCAGTC